GTACATATACAAACTTGTCCTTTGTAGGGTATAGAGTGCAGAAAACGGAATTATATGTTAGTTGCAGGGGTTTTTGTGAGCTTCAGCTATCTTAAAGAAAAAAATGTATGGTTTAAATTTTACCTCCTGACTACCAGCTATGGAGTGTTGTCCTCTGTAGAGGACATTATGTTTTAGCAATTTCTCTGAGACTTTACATGTCACAGTTTTAAGTCTGAATGTCCTGTACAGAGCACATTCAGGGCTTTTCAGAGATACCAAATGATTGGATGTTTCACCATGACCACTCCCTCTCCTTGGTCTTAAAAAATGGCTGACATCAATTTAGTGATCAAGTGTAACACCCTTATGGAAATATTTAGTCAGATATTACATTTAAATCTGATTAATATTCAAATTGTTTGTCATAAATCAACATCTCAGGAAAATGTTATGGAGTTTCAAATCATAATGAAAAATGTTTTTTAAAAATATCTTTCATAACATAGTTGAGAATCATCTTTATATAAAGTTTGGTATAAAAAATGAAAACTAATTTGTGATTAAAACAGAACTCACATTGTTTTTTTCCTTTTCATGTCTATTCATGTCTTTTTTTTTTATTTTTTTTTTTAAACAGGACTTTTTAAAGTCCCGATGTCCTCTACATAACATATGAATAAAACATAATTTTTCAAAAATCTTATTTTTCTTATGCTCTAAACCTGGAGGCACCCCAACACTGCACATTTTGCATGTCTCCTTTCTCTGACACACCAATTTCAGGTCTTGGAGTCTCTACTAATGAGCTGATGACCTGAATCAGGTGTGTTTGATTAAGGAGACATGCAAAACTTGCAGTGTTGGGGTGCCTCCAGGACCAGGGTTGGAAACCACTGCTCTAAACAATGTAATGACATGACAAAATACTAAATTCACAATTTTTTTCCCTGGCAGTCAGATATACAGGCACTTAAAGTTCATGGTATATGAAATCACCACTTTAGTTGAGGGGCCACACACATGATGAAGTCATGAAAAGCTAATGCTTAGTTAATGATGACTACTACACAGTAAATTCCCGAGTGTTAAATTAACACTGCTCGGAGCATATATGCTCCCACTCTAAATGAGTGTTAAAGTAACACTGAAGCTGATTATATGCGCGATTCATTATCAGTGAGCAGCAGTGCAAGAAGCGAGCAGGGATAAAGGTTATCCGCTCAGAAAACGTACAAATAATATTAGATGTTTAATTACTATTTGGAGCATTGGGATTGCTAGACAAGGGCTTAATGAACTTATTTTTGAGAAAACCTGAAATTTGACCAAAATCAACATTTTTCACTTTTTTGTCTGTAGCTCAAAATGAGCCTGTGCGCATTCCAACTAATTTTGCCAGCATGGGTTACAAATGGTTATAATTCACTTCCCTGCTTGTCGTTTCTAACCTGTATGACCTTCTTTCTTCTGTGAAACTCAATATATGACATTTTTAATATTGTTGGCAACCAAAGTTTGGTACCATTGCATTTTACTGTGGGGAAAAAAAACATTTCTCAAAATATATTTATTTTCTACAGAAGAAAGTCATGCTGTTTTGAAATTACTTGAAGATTACTAAATTAACAACAGAATTTTCCTTTTGGGTGAACTATCCCTTTAACATTAAATGTTTTTGTTTGGCTGTATTTTCAGTCAATTTTTTGTGTTCAATAATATAATAACACTCACTGTAGCTTCTGCAGTTTACAGTGTGGATCCTCCAGTAGAGCAGAGAGCAGCTTCACTCCTGAATCTCCTGGTTTATTACAGTTCAGATTCAGTTCTCTCAGGTGTGAGGGGTTTGATCTCAGAGCTGAAATCAGAACAGCACATCCTTCCTCTCTAAAACTGCAGGAACTCAGCCTAAAAAAAAAAAGAAAAAACAGTTAAAATCAATAATTTATCAATCAACCAAATTTATATAATAAGCGAGTACACCATAAATCCATTTTCCAAACCTTGTTTTTGGCTTGTCCTGAATCACTACGATACGCCTATAATAAGTGTATATATTTGGACTATTTTAGACTGATTTGGGTAGGTACCGCTGTGGAGTAACCCAGTACTTGCGTGATTTGTCATAGACATAAACTTAGAGAAGTAGCTCCGGCTACAATTTTCTTCCGCAAGACGCACGCAGTTCTGTTTAATAACCGCTAGAGCGCCAAAAGTTACAGAGCTTTAAGTTACTGCAGCTTTAATAGTCATGTGTTATAAAGGTTTGTTATTGAAATGTAAGACCCGAAATGATAACTCTCACAAAACAGATGCCATGCAACAAAACAATAAACTTTCTAATCTAAAGAGATCTAAAAAAAAAAAAAAACATTTGCTCAATTGTCCCTTCCTTAAGCCCCCTCTTTCCCTCCTGGGTATATGGCACAGGTCACTGAGGAGTGTCAAGAACTCAAGTTACTATACTTGCATATTGTGGTTATTATATATGAAAAATCTATGATTTTAACCTTTTCATGTTTAGTATCATTGTAAAGGTATCTTGTAAAGGATTCTGTAACCAGAAAACGCCCACACAGTGTGTGTCTCTGGAGCTCTGAACTAGAACTCTCACATGCTGTTGTGTGTCTCCCTGCTGTCAGGTATGGCTTCTGAATTGGCTTCTAATTGTTTAATTATATAATTGGCATGATATTATATTTGATTTATTTGGAACTCTTCTGAAATCATTATGACCAGTAGATCATGTGGAGGCTTATATTACCTCAAATCTGTGTCCAGGACAGAACAGACTAAAGGCTCATGGGCGCAATAGGCATGCCATCTGAGACCTTTTGATTTCTGTCTATCACTGACTTAGCAAGTTGTACTGAAGTGACCTAATAAACTACACTTTTTGTTCTGAGCAAACCAGTAGAGGGCCGACTGAAAGGTAAAGGCTAACCTTGCACATTCTGACTAAGTTCAGACTGGCAAATTTGTAATTGTGAGATCCACGCTGGCCACATGAGACTCAGGGTGTTTTTACACCTAGTTTGTTTGAGCCCTGCAAACGCTCTCGGAGCAGTTCAGCTCGTATTTGTGAACAAACAATTGATCTCAGACCTCCCTAAAAGGACCCAAATGTGAACTGTTCATTTGTGGGTCTGGTTATGGTTCAATATCCTCGTGATTTGTGAAAGCAATGAGGTCCCGGTATGCCTGGTATGGACCAGCATAACAGTAATCTTTGAGGTTGAACTAAGCAGTTTAATAGGCCTACTTGTATATATATTTTTATATAGGCTGTTTTATTATTATTATTATTATTTACTGATGTCATTTCAGACGTTCAATCTATTGTTAGCTACATTTAAAAAAACAAAAAAAAGCTAATGAGTAAATAAACAAACCAACTGTTAACTCAAACAATACAAAATAATTATCCTGTCATTTATGTAATCTATGGCTAACTATGCCTTAAATTATTTAATGCATGCATCGTTAAGTATTCTCGTCATGACGGAGGCAAAGAACCACCTGACGCACAGCAGAGATTTAGCATTCAGCCCGCTTTAAATCAGACACAGAAATTAAGGTGGAATGATAGTGCGGTAGGATCACATGTATTTGAATGCATGAATTATATTATTGATTTGAATTCATTATTGAAAGATGCCTGTGTTAATTGCGTCTGTGCGTCTTTTTCTGCAAAAGTGAAGCTGTGAGTTTTACCCACTAGTTGCTGAGAAATATAATGTAGCGATTCAGTATCGAAGCTACTATATTAATAAAATTTGCGCGGCTGCATTGATAACAAGTGTCCATGCTCGTGAATATTTCCGTGTGTGAGCGTGATCTCTGATCTGTCTCTGCGAGTGATGTGTGTGTGCATGCGACGTCTTGCGTGTGTCAATGAAAGCAGGAAAAAATATAGTAGCAATATAATATTAGTTGCAAAGAAACATTTTATTACCATCTTATCTGAGGAAAAAAGCTAGTTAAATTAACTTTATACATAATATTCCATTTTAATTATAAAATTGACTGAAATGTGTTGTTAAAGCTCTGCAAATGTCTTGACTGGTGACACGATCAGGGATTGCCAGCTCTTCCTCGCCCCCTTCCCTGTCCACTTAATCTTCCAAATTTTCCAGTAGCTCAGACACCAGCATTCCACTGCTGCTCAGAAAGATGGGCTCTGAGTTCTTTTGAAGTTGTGGTATGAACAAAAAGGGTCTGAGATCACTTCAGTACTGAAGAGGACCAAGAATAGAGCCAGGTTCTCTTTTGAGTCAACTATATTGTGAACACCAAAAGGACTGAGGTCACTTTCGTCTGGTTCCCTTTCTGGTTCACTTTAAGTGAACTGGGTTTGGTTCCTTTAAATCAAACTATATGCGAAAACACCATCAGATGCAGCATCGGGTCTCTGATGAACAAATAATTGAATGTATGGGATTTCCAGCATAATCAAATATCTAAATTAATACATAATTGATATTTGTGATCAGTTTTTAATTAGAATACAGCCTAAATTTAATGATCACTTGAAATTGGAGTCAGATTAAACAGAGAACTAGACTCAAATTGAAACTGAATCTTGATAAATTAAGTGACCTTTGCAGAAGCAGAAGTAAAAGACCTACACACATTATACCTTCACCCACGCCATTTGATTCCATCGTTGGGGAAATTGTGTGGTCTTTACAGGAATAATGTAACACTACTCATCTCCATCTCTTCAATAAAAATGTCAGATCTGAAAAGTGTGTTTCTTTTTATAAAGTGATGGCTATTCTCTTTAATGATTTATCAGTCAAATACTGTTCATTTCTAATAAATACTCACACAAAAATCAGTGACATCGCATTCATCCTGACATTTACAACTGTAGATAACATGTCACTTGATTTTGTTATTTTGTGTCCCAGAACTTTTATTTTGATATTATTATGGACTCTTAGTTTGAGTTTCCATTTCCTGTGTTTATTCCAGTTCCCTATCTATACTTCACTCGTACTGTGTCTTGCTTAAGACGCTATGGGGGAAACGTCTTTTTCTCAGAATACTGAAGCCTTTCAATAACGCAGTGTAACTGCACGGCCATTGGTTCGTGCAGTGTATTAAAAACGAACCAATGGCTTGGCAGACACAGCCCGCTAAAATGGGCGGGGCATCTGACTGTATAAACTGGCACTTTGCCATAGGATCCTCAGATTTCTTTTCTTTCAGCGATGACTACAAGATCTTTGTTCTACGAGACTCGAAGCCTTCGCTGTGAACAAGCCTCGCAGCGGATCAAGACCCCTTTCTGCTCGGCTGACTTCGCCACTCTTCTGCTGCCTTCAGCGTCTGCAGCAGCTGTGGTCTTCCCGGTCCCCTGTGGCTATCCGTCGACTATAAGAGCAAATTTTCGGCGTTGTTGCAAATGCCGTGCCGCTACTGTCACTCGTGCAGGGCTCCCCTGCACGCCGCTGATGGTCACGCCGAGTGCGTTTCATGTTTGGCCGCCGCCCATTTCCTCCCACTTCTTTCCTTCCAGGAGTCTCTGACGAAAAAGCTGCGGAGCAGAGGACCTCGACGCTTGGTGACGAGTGAGCCCACGCCGGCTGAGCCCCCTGAGGCTTCCCCGATCCTTTTCTCTCACCCGGACCAGCATCCCTCTGCGGCTGCAAGCGATCTGATGTCGTTCGAAGGGAGCAAGTGTGACACCATGGACGACAGTGTGTCTCTGGCTGCTTCAGATGTGGAGGAGCTGTCGGGCTTGTCTTTCGACGACGCCCGCCTGCCGTCTGTGGAGCCCAGCGCTGCCAGCACGGGCATGGACGCCGAACTTTTCCGCGTCTTGTCTAAAGCTGTGCAAGAGCTGGGTTTGGATTGGTCTCCATGATGAGATCACTAGATCTTGGCGCGTGCTCAGGGCGCATGCGCATGCAGCGACCGGCAGTGAATGAGAGTTTGGCATTCTGTTTTATGTGGTTTTATTCATTTTAAACGTTTTTATTGTCCTGTATTGTCTTAACTACATTAATAAGCGATTCTAGATTTAGTTGGAAAATGGATTTATCCTATTTTGTCGCGCTGGGACTTCTTTTGTATCTGTTGTTTGCATGCAACATCCGTGGGACTGTATGCCAGGTGAGGACACAGTATTCCAGAGATATGTTACTGCAGCTAAACCTCGCTAGTTTGGCTCAGGGAATTTATTTTACACCGGGGTTACCCAACTTTATTCTGAGAGATTCTCATGGACCGAGGAGTGTGGAAAAGAAGAGGAGGAAGAGGGTTAAACGAGGAGGCGTTAGATTACGCCTGAGGAAGCAGCGGCTCACCCGGGTTCCTCTGCCCTCGGTTATTATGGGAAACGTTCAGTCTTTAAGGAATAAAGTGGATGAACTTCAGGGAAATGCTCGTT